ATAATTTTTAATAAAGTTTCATCTACATGTACCAAGCAGAAACGTATAGCAACAATCATAATGGGCTGCTTGCAAAAGCGAATCTATTGGACTATTATCTAGCCCTGGGACATCTATCCATAGAGCTTTTGGGTATAACATTTATGTATCTCTTTTGCTCTTTCTTATACTTTTGATTTTTTATTTGTATGATTTTTGTTGCTGTGTAAGTTACTTTCATGGTTAAATCATACTTTGAGACAGACAGACAGACATTAGACCAGGGCCAACTTCTGCTGGCTGCAGAAGTTGGCCCTGGTCTAATGTCTGAGGTAACCTTCAATTCAACACACCCAGTGCATAGTATAAATTAAAAAAATTTCGCTATTCTGCAATGCAACAAAATAAAAGGTGAAAGGATCCTTTACCCGAACAACAAATCTTGCTAGGAGAACATCCCAAAGGTAGGGTGAAACAAATTTTCAGCTTCTTCAACGGTTTCCGACCCAGATGCTCTGTTTGGTTTTGTCTCTAATAAGAGACCAAAAGTTTTATGAAGAAATATTGACCACAAGTTCTGCAGACTATTTTATATGTACCACTTGAGAATAGACAAGGAACGAGGGTGGCTTCTCTTGAGCATTGATAAAGCTGAGAGTCCTGCAATCACAAGGACAGGAAAAAAAAAAAAAACACTTTCGCATAAGTCCTTGTGGTTGCATGGTTAGTTTTCCCCTTTTTTGCTGACAATTTTAAAATCTTTGTGTTTTCTTTGTGTCGTGGATGCTGATTATGGCCCAAAGAGATGGAAATAAAGACAAACTAAAAGACAAATTGAGTTTGTTTGAAGGCAGATGTGTTTTATGGACTAGGACTGTCATTTCTCTTTGTTTTAATTGTGTTTTTGCAATATAAAGAAACATTTCCCTCCCAAAAAGCATTTTCAGATGCAGTCAGATCTTAAACATTATTAGGTTACTTGACAATTGTAGGACTTAATCTTTTTTTAAGTGTGCAATGGGTAAATGGTGATCTTAATGGTGAGATTTACATGAGGGAATAAACTGCTGCTTTGCTGGTTACAAGCCTTCAGGAGCAACAGAGAGAAACCCCAACAGTACTTCAACTGTCATACAGGACATGGATCTGAAAAAAAATATTCTTATTCAGTTTAAATTTGAGTAAAGATTTTTTTTTTTAAAGATATTTTAAATTACAGGACCAAATTTTAAGAAAACTGAGGTTCCAGTTGTAATGGCATTTTTGTAAATAGTTTTAAAAAAAAATTGAGATGTTATGATCAACCCCCAACCCATATGAGCAAGAAAAATACCTAATTTAATTTCAATTTAGGCTATAAGGATATGATAAGAAAATACTTTAAATGACTGGATTCCAAAGCATTTTCTATTAAAGACAGCAAATGTTTAGCGCAACAACATTAAAATGAAGACGAATGAAACAGCAAGGCATTGAAATGAATGCAATTTTTTAATGCAATTAAAGGAGTCATACACATGGAGAGCAAACCTTTAAAGGTGGATATATATTCATACAGTTTTTTTTGTTTTTGAGGTTAAGTAGCCCTGTAAAATCATGTAAAGTATCATCTCAAAGAATTGTTCTTAATTTCCCTCCCTTTTGCAAGCACTGTGAACAGTAGGCTTTCCAAATGGATACCGTGCAGTTCAATTTGAATTCTACACAGTATGCATCTGCCTTATGCCAGGTTACGCTTGTGTCCGTTTTCACCAATAAGTTTAAATTAATGCAAATATTTTGGATAAAAACAAGACTTTTTCTTTACCCCACCCCCAAATAAAATAAAATATTTTGTCTGTGATCATTTTGCACTCCAATGATTTTTTCATCTATAAGTCCTGTCATTCTAGTAATTTTATTATAAAGGTCGATATTCAACAGTTCATTGATATACCTTCTGAAAAAATTGTTTCCATTCTGCAGTGGTAGGTGTGAAAAAGTATTCTCATTTAATCTCTTGGATTGCTTGCTAAATTGAAAAATATTCCTTTACTGCAACTAAATGAAAAAAACATTTGAGAATCTAATTCTGCCTGTGACAATGATAATAGCTTGGACATATCCTTCCTATTCTGAGAAGATAATTATTGTACTTCATTTGACTTTTTTTTTAATCAGGACACCATCACTTCTCTGGATCAATGACAAACCCCTTCCCTGACCTTGGGCTCTCATTCTAAGTATGTTAACTAATCAACACTGAGCAGTATTGTGTGTCTCATGATATCAGATATCAGAGCAAGGCAAAGTAGGTGGACTTAGCAAGAGTAAAATTTCCTCTTTAAAAGAGGAGACCCTTTGTCTTCTTTCTTAATCTTTCTTTAGGAATAAGGTTCCAGCCTTCTTGCCTTACTTGATTAGGCATGCAGATGTATGGTGAAGGAAAAACATGAAACATTTCATTGAATTTTGCAGGCAGACCCACAGAGATCTTGTGAATGAGGGAAAAGAGTTGAACCTCCTCTAGCAACCTGTATTTGATTCCTGTTCCCTTTGCTGCAATAACATCCTTGCTATCGATGAGGTTCCATGCACATCTGTGGCTCCAACTGAAAGAGATACTTCACAGGGGAATATCCTTTGTTTTTAACATGAGTGTTATGTTTCTGTCACCACTTTTAAAGATTGAACCAACTCAACAACAATGGATACCCTATCTTTACTTCATGATCCAAGAAAGTTAATTCTGCTTGGGAAAAGAAGGGTATTTAACTCAACTGTTTTTACACCAAACTTCTTTTAGTTTTACCTTGTCAATGCTAAAGGAATGTTTGTTTGGTGATGACAAATCTTAATGTGTTCATTGATACAGAATTTTTTTTCTAGGTTTACTTTACTGGAGTAATGATTACAAAACATCTTTTGGCACCTGTAAAGGCACCATCTGGGAATGGCAACAATGAGATGGCAACATTTCTTAAGGCTGTTTTAGGCGAGTGGTGTAGTTGCACGGGTATACTTTATAACAAAGCCATTTTTTTCTTCTTTTAGATGATTAATATCAGTTTTCTGTGTGCTAGATTTTGTATATGATGCACCAGGAGCAAGCAGAGCTCAAGAGTGACAGAACTGACATTTTCAGAACTGTTATAGCTTGTCATTCTTGCTTAGGTAAGAAGGCACAGAAGGTCAAACTGTCACTACTATTGAATTCAAAATGTCAATATGAGGGAAACATACCAGCTACATGCTGTGACAATTGTAAAAGGTAAGATATGGAACCTGCTTACTGTCACAAAAGAGAATTTAGTACTTGTCCCCAGAGAAAGATGTTCTGCATCATTTGACCGGCAATGCATCAGGCATAAAAAAACATCAGATTTCAAACTGCTAAAGTTTTGGATAGTTTTGCTGCAACAACAATATTTTGTATTTTGTCAGGACTGTTTATTTCTCTACTAACTTGCATAGTGACCATAAGTCTCTGACATAAAATAGAAATCCTTTCACTGGTAATATAATCATGTTTGTGGGTACACTTCTGAGGCAGATATCCCTTCTGCTTCTATCAGTCAGATTTTACTATGCTGAAAACCTAAGGATTGCTTGGTAAAGATGAAAGGAAGAAAGTTGTCAGAACATATCCTATTGAATTACCAAAGATATTTTAATAACCCTTCATTTTTTTAAATCCTATAAATTCCTCATAAGCATGGCGTTTATAATGTCAATTTTCCTCCCCAAAAGACTAAAAATGGCCTTGGTCTACAGAAGTAACTATGCCAAAACTATGATATGCTGTGATGCTGTGAATGTAAAAGAGAAAATAAAATGTGTAGCAGCATGGGGTATGACATCATCATACTAAATAGACCCTTGGTGATTTTTTAAAGGAACATAAGTTGTGGCATTATAAAATTATTGACCATTGAAACTGTTTTCAGTATACATAATTCAATACTTAACTGTAATTGAGTGCAAACCATAAAAAAAGAAAAATAATAATAATAATAACTATTGTGCATTCGAATAACACTGTATCTTTATGAAAGGCACCTGGAATAAAAATGTTTTTTTTAATACAATATTGCCTGAATATGTTTAAACAAAATAATATTTAAATGAAGACAAAAATCATGTTGTCTTTAGACACAAAAACATACAAAGATGGCCCCTAAGCTTTGAGTTAGACTTGGACTTGAACAAACTTTAATGTAATTTTGTATACACAGATTGTATACAAAAGGGAATTTCGTTCAGTGCAGGTCTCAAGACATTTTCATTTTTAAAGTGCATTTTTAAAGGTGGCTCATAGTGAAAGAAATGACATTTTTAAACATTATGTTCACTCTATCAGTTCTTTGATAACGGCTGACTGACTGCTTACATATAAAGCCAGCTGGATTAGAGGCGAAACCTCACGTCCAGATGCCTAGATTGAACATTCTCTAGCATGATCATGACCTCGATGACTGAGCATCTTCAGAGATAGATTGAAGAGTACTTTTGCCCTCACATCTTGCCATTCAAAATTGTCCCTCTTTCCTTCGCTTGTCCCCTACAATTCCTTTTTAAACATCAGTCTTTGTACTAAAATATTCTTTTGGTCATTATTAATGGACATTTAGATCTAAAGAGAAGCACAATCTCCAGGACAGACCCTGTAATTCAGTAAAAGGGTGGAGTCAGATTAAAACAATATGTACACCCTTGAGAAGGCCGGTTGCTGGAAGTTGGAGGAGAATCTGGTGAATGCAGAGAAGTGGACTGCCATTCAGCTTGCATTTGACTGGGAAAGGGCATTTTGAATGGCTGCTACTGTATAATTCTACCAGGAAGAATCAAGTGGTTGACTGAGCTCCACTTCAATCTAACAAAGACATCAGCATACAATACCTTATTTACCAAGATAGTAATAGAATAACAGTGTTAAAGGAAACATAAAGTTGTAGGGTTTTAAAGCAACGCTAAGACATTTGTTGGATATGTGTTTGAGAGAGCACATCTCAAGATCACAGCACCAGTAGAAGAGCTATTTTCGACAAGGATAGGACTTAAACCCATGCGTGCAAAGCACAATGGATTAGCAGTCCATTGACATAACCTCTCGGCCACCTTGTCTCTGACCACTGCTTGCAGACTTGAAATAAGAGCTGAGGGCCGTTAACAGATAATCGGATACATTTGAAGTACACATTTTTAGAGAATGAACACTTGGTGGCTCCTTGAGCTCATAGTGAAAGAAATGACATTTTAAAAAATGATGTTATCCCTATCAGTTCTTTGATAACGGCTGACTGACTGCTACGTGGTTCATACAAAGCCACCTGGATTAGAGGCGAAACTTAAAGTCCAGACGTTCATGTAGCTACACTATATTGCCAAAAGTATTTGCTCACCTGCCTTGACTCACATATGAGCTTAAGTGACATCCCGTTCCTAATCCATAGGGTTCAATATGACGTCGGTCCACCCTTTGCAGCTAGAACAGCTTCAACTCTTCTGGGAAGGCTGTCCACAAGGTTTAGGAGTGTGTTTATGGGAATTTTTGACCATTCTTCCAGAAGCGCATTTGTGAGGTCGCACACTGATGTTGGACGAGAAGGCCTGGCTCTCAGTCTCCGCTCTAATTCATCCCAAAGGTGTTCTATCGGGTTGAGGTCAGGACTCTGTGCAGGCCAGTCAAGTTCATCCACACCAGACTCTGTCATCCATGTCTTTATGGACCTTGCTTTGTGCACTGGTGCACAGTCATGTTGGAAGAGGAAGGGGCCAGCTCCAAACTGTTCCCACAAAGTTGGGAGCATGGAATTGTCCAAAATGTCTTGGTATGCTGAAGCATTCAGAGTTCCTTTCACTGGAACTAAGGGGCCAAGCCCAGCTCCTGAAAAACAACCCCACACCATAATCCCCCCTCCACCAAACTTTACACTTGGCACAATGCAGTCAGACAAGTACCGTTCTCCTGGCAACCGCCAAACCCAGACCCGTCCATCAGATTGCCAGATGGAGAAGCGCGATTCGTCACTCCAGAGAACGCGTCTCCACTGCTCTAGAGTCCAGTGGCGGCGTGCTTTACACCACCGCATCCGACGCTTTGCATTGCACTTGGTGATGTATGGCTTGGATGCAGCTGCTCGACCATGGAAACCCATTCCATGAAGCTCTCTGCGCACTGTTCTTGAGCTAATCTGAAGGCCACATGAAGTTTGGAGGTCTGTAGTGATTGACTCTGCAGAAAGTTGGCGACCTCTTCGCACTATGCGCTTCAGCATCCGCTGACCCCGCTCCGTCAGTTTACGTGGCCTACCACTTCGTGGCTGAGTTGCTGTCGTTCCCAAACACTTCCATTTTCTTATAATACAGCTGACAGTTGACTGTGGAATATTTAGGAGCGAGGAAATTTCACGACTGGATTTGTTGCACAGGTGGCATCCTATCACAGTTCCACGCTGGAATTCACTGAGCTCCTGAGAGCGACCCATTCTTTCACAAATGTTTGTAAAAACAGTCTGCATGCCTAGGTGCTTGAATTTATACACCTGTGGCCATGGAAGTGATTGGAACACCTGATTCCAATAATTTGGATGGGTGAGCAAATACTTTTGGCAATATAGTGTATGTTCAGCACTTTGTTTTCAGCTGTAGCTGTTTGAAAGCACTCTCTGGCTTGCACCAGAGAAATCAGTAGTTGGAGTGCTAATGTATTTAAGCAGCATGGAGGTCCCTCCTACTAGGATCATTCCGAGCAAATAGCCATCCCTTGTTCTTCTGGGTGGCTAATTGGTCTGCGTCTGTCTGAAAATGTGCTTAGATAAAAGATAAATAAATAGATTAATAAATAAGTAAATCTGCATGTTCTCTTAATGGTAGCTTTATCTCATCGGTTCCTGTTTGGGTGTGACAACTGTGAAATGGAATATCAGACTGTGCTTTTCCTTGGCTAAATAAAAGTAACATTGTTCCAGTCTCTGCTGGAATATATGACGCTGAAGCAGGGGTGATAAAAAGCAGTTGCCTCTCTACTCTAGACAAGGATAAACGTGTCCTTATTGTGGTCAAGGTTCTCACATCCTCCTTCTGTTGTGAGCTCAAGACAGTTGATGTCATGAAGGGAAAGCAGTTGTTCTGAAATGTTTATTTTGCTAAATGTATGTCTTAGCTGAATAAAAGTCGTTTCCTTCTTTTCTTCAAGTGTTTGAGAAAGTTCTTTTTTGCAGGGGTTTGGTTTAGTTTCATGGGAGAGAGAGAGAGTGTGCTGGGATTTCTGAAAAGCATAAAAGTATTTCTTAGGATGGTTAAGTCAGAGCTTTTATATACTCTCCATCTCATCTAAGGATGTTAAATAAATTTGAATAATATCTCTTGCAAGAAATGCTTCCCACTCAGTTTCCTAACTTCACACAACATCCTGTAGATAAATATCAGCTGGCCTGCAGCCATCCACACTTGGGGTTACAGTTGATAGTGTCGGGTTAGTAAGTGGTTTAATCTCTGGTAGGCGAGGCAGCAACTTAGGTAACTATGATGCCTTAACTGCGTTTGGTGCTTTCTCTCTGATATCCACCTGCATTTTGTATATGATTAATCTCTTCCTGTTAAAAGGACGTGTACCTCGGGTTTTTAAGGTAGCTGTAATGAAACATTTACTTAAGAAACTGTCCCTTGAGCCAGATGACTTGGTCAATTATAGACCTATATCCAATCTTCCTTTCTTATCCAAAATTCTTAAGAACATTTTTTCATAGGAATTTTGGATACAGTAGAAACCAAAAAGACCAAAAAGAGCTTCAGTGTGGTTTCTAAGCTTATCATATCAGTGAAACACCACTGTTCAAAGTGACTGTTACTATTCGCATGGCCTCAAATATGTACTTGTTCTGTTAGATCCCAGTGCTGCATTTCATAAAATCAATTATAGTATCCTTTAAGGTTGTTGTTTTGTGAAATGTGTAATATACTATAAAGACACTACTGATAAATTAGATTGATTGTTTTCTTGTTGCAATTCCCAAAAAAAAATAAAAAATCATAACTCATACCACATACTTCTACTAAATGACCAACAAATACCCTGACTGACCTATATGCTTTTGTTGGAGAAGAAAATTATCTTTTTCCTAGGGATTTTACATATTTTCAATTTGTATAAAGCCTCTAGCCATCCTGTGATATGCAGAAATTGTTCTTAGGCATCCTAGGCTTGCACTGCTGCACTAGGATCATGATGAGAAACATAGCATTTTGCTAAGTTTAACAGGCTTACCAGGTCTGTCCTTTTAGATCATTCAAGGTTCTATGGGCTTCTTAACAGGAAGTAACTTGAGAGTGCATTTGAATCGAGGCTGGGTGGATCTGGGTGGAACACACAAATTAAACAAGAATATTTTGAATTACGAGACCTAATTACAGTAATCAGTGCTTTCTCCTACTGAACCTTGTCTACTAAATAGAAAAATAGAATAAAAGACTACTAAAGGAAAGAAATTGTAGAAAGAATCATCAATAATGCCTTTAAGGAAAACTGAAATGTAAGGTTGTGCAGCATAGAGCAATTTTGTTTCTGAATAAACATTGTGATAAAAATTTGACTTTTAAGCTCTAAAATGAATAAATCCAGAGTTCTATTCCAGTGAACATTCTTTAGAATTAATACTTTATTATTCAGTGGATTTGCTCCACTCTGAAGCTCAAACACTGAACAGGAGAGTGGGTAACCTGGAAATAGTAAACTTGATTTATTAAAAAGAGTTAGTCGGTTGTATCACAGCACATCAGTGTAATTTGGACACTGTGTGGGTGAAGAAGTAAAAAGTGCTTTTCCCACCTTGCAATAGATGAGAGGAATACTGGTATCCATGGCAACTGTGTTCACAGATGAAGGCAGCTGTGGCCTCAAAATGCTTTGAACACCCACAAATTAAAAATGCATGACATAAAAATTAGACTAAAATTGTGCCATAAATTACAGCACTAAAATGTGACCAAAGCTGATTTGTGGAAAATTAATGTCAAGCAAAGAAAGAAATAGTCTTTTAAGGTTATATTAACCCAATTCTATATGATTTTATCAATGCCCATTTTCTTTGGAGTTTTCAGTTTCCCCTCATTGTGACTTAAAAATACATTTTCACATGACAGGAGAGCAACACAGAGGCCCTTAGTAGCCCTTTTACAGGTATATTTAAATTTACCCCTAATCTTTCTAATACTTTTAAACTAAGAATGATTAAATATAAATATCAAATATTGAATAAAGGGCTTCCACAAGCCTAGAAAACTAATTTGAAGAGTCTGAAACTGATTTAGAGCAATATGTACAATAAAAACGACTTTTGTAGGGCATGTATTTTAATTATTACTATATTTACATATGGACAGATTAACAGCCCAAACTAACTCTCCGAATTTTGGGAGGTGACGCAATACTGCCCAGCAATTTTTCAGATATCTTTATACTAAAGTGGAATTTGTTAATCAGCCCAAGAATAGATGAAAAAAAATATCTAACTGTCATGATCTGTGCTGATACCTCCACCTTAATTTCTTATTTCTTTCACCTGCCGTTTTCCCTCCCAGCCTTAATTATCATTTATTCCTCACACCTGTTTTCTTTGCTTTATATTCTGTTAAGCATAAGCTTTCAGGGCCAGCTCATTTCTTTTGTTTTCCTGTTAGTCTGTCTGAGTGTTTTCAGTTTTATTCCACGGTTAAAGTCCTGGATCCTGCCGGCCAGTGGAAAGAGGGTTTTGTGTCTGTCTCACCTCCTGATCGTCCACTGTTCCTCCCCTGCTGAGTCCTCAGGGTTTTTAGTTCTATATGCGGGGAGGTTCAGTTTTTATCCCCGTAAGCCTGGCTCCAAGGAGAAGACCAGTTTAAAGGTCCTGCGTCAAGTTCTGGTTCCACGTCCTGTCTCTTCTACCCTCTGCCACTGATCTTGCCCATCTGCAACTGATCCTGTCTGCTCCTGTGCGTGACTGCCTGGTCACGCTTCTGGACTCTGTGAATTACCTGGAAGCCTGGGTCCTGTCACCTGTCTGTTCCTGCCTGATCTCAATCCTGTCACCTGTCTGCTCCTGCCTGATCTGTTACCCTGTCCAGGATCGGCTTCCTTCGGGTCC